TGGAGCATCTGTAGTTGTGGTTGGAGCTGAGGTAGTTGTAGTTGAAGCTGATGTGGTTGTAGTTGGAGCAGCTGTTGTTGTGGTTGGAGCAGCTGTGGTTGTGGTTGGAGCTTCTGTAGTTGTGGTTGGAGCTGCTGTTGTTGTGGTTGGAGCTGATGTGGTTGTAGTTGGAGCTGATGTGGTTGTAGTTGGAGATGATGTGGTTGTGGTTGGAGCTTCTGTAGTTGTGGTAGCAGCTGTTGTAGTTGTGGTTGGAGCAGCTGTTGTTGTGGTTGGAGCTGCTGTAGTTGTGGTTGGAGCTGCTGTAGTTGTGGTTGGAGCAGCTGTTGTTGTTGTTGGAGAAGCTGTGGTGGTAGTTGGAGCTGCTGTAGTTGTAGTTGGAGCAGCTGTGGTTGTGGTTGGAGCTGCTGTAGTTGTGGTTGGAGCAGCTGTGGTTGTGGTTGGAGCTGCTGTAGTTGTGGTTGGAGCAGCTGTTGTTGTTGTTGGAGCTGCTGTAGTTGTAGTTGGAGCAGCTGTGGTTGTGGTTGGAGCTGCTGTAGTTGTGGTTGGAGCAGCTGTTGTTGTTGTTGGAGCTGCTGTAGTTGTAGTTGGAGCAGCTGTGGTTGTGGTTGGAGCTGCTGTAGTTGTAGTTGGAGATTCTGTTGTTGTGGTTGGAGCAGTTGTGGTAGTAGTTGGAGCTGATGTTGTTGTGATTGGAGCATCTGTTGTTGTGGTTGGAGCAGTTGTGGTTGTAGTTGGAGCAGCTGTTGTTGTGGTTGGAGCAGCTGTGGTTGTGGTTGGAGCTTCTGTAGTTGTGGTTGGAGCAGCTGTTGTTGTGGTTGGAGCAGATGTGGTTGTGGTTGGAGCTGCTGTGGTTGTAGTTAGAGCAACTGTTGTTGTGGTTGGAGCTTCTGTAGTTGTGGTTGGAGCTGCTGTGGTGGATGGAGTTTCTGTTGTTGTGGTTGGAGCTGATTTGGTTGTAGTTGGAGCTTCTGTAGTTGTGGTTGGAGCTGCCGTAGTTGTGATTGGAGCATCTGTTGTTGTGAGTGGAGCAGTTGTGGTAGTAGTTGGAGCTGATGTGGTTGTAGTTGGAGCTGATGTGATTGTAGTTGGAGCTTCTGTAGTTGTGGTAGGAGCAGCTGTTGTTGTGGTTGGAGCTTCAGTAGTTGTGTTTGGAACTTCTGTAATTGTGGTAGGAGCAGCTGTTGTTGTGGTTGGAGCTCCTGTAGTTGTGGTTGGAGCTTCTGTAGTTGTGGTAGGAGCAGCTGTAGTTGTGGTTGGAGCTGATGTAGTTGTGGTTGGAGCTGATGTGGTTGTAGTTGGAGCAGCTGTTGTTGTGGTTGGAGCATCTGTGGTTGTGGTTGGAGCTTCTGTAGTTGTGGTTGGAGCATCTGTTGGGGTTAGAGCAGCTGTTGTTGTGGTTGGAGCTTCTGTTGTTGTGGTTGGAGCTTCTGTAGTTGTGGTTGGAGCTTCTGTAGTTGTGGTAGGAACAGCTGTTGTTGTGGTTGGAGCTTCTGTAGTTGTGGCAGGAGCAGCTGATGTTGTGGTAGGAGCAGCTGTTGTTGTGGTGGGAGCTTCTGTAGTTGTGGTTGGAGCTTCTGTAGTTGTGGTAGGAACAGCTGTTGTTGTGGTTGGAGCTTCTGTAGTTGTGGTAGGAGCAGCTGTTGTTGTGGTTGGAGCTTGTGTTGTTGTGGTTGGAGCTTCTGTAGTTGTGGTTGGAGCTTCTGTAGTTGTGGTAGGAACAGCTGTTGTTGTGGTTGGAGCTTCTGTAGTTGTGGTAGGAGCAGCTGTTGTTGTTGGAGCTTCTGTTGTGGTTGGAGTTTCTGTAGTTGTGGTTGGAGCTTCTGTAGTTGTGGTTGGAGCTTCTGTAGTTGTGGTAGGAGCAGCTGTTGTTGTGGTTGGAGTTTCTGTTGTTGTGGTTGGAGCTTCTGTAGTTGTGGTAGGAGCAGCTGTTGTTGTGGTTGGAGCTTCTGTTGTGGTTGGAGCTGATGTGGTTGTAGTTGGAGCAGCTGTTGTTGTGGTTGGAGCATCTGTGGTTGTGGTTGGAGCTTCTGTAGTTGTGGTTGGAGCATCTGTTGGGGTTAGAGCAGCTGTTGTTGTGGTTGGAGCAGATGTGGTTGTGGTTGGAGCTGCTGTAGTTGTGGTTGGAGCTGCTGTGGTGGATGGAGTTTCTGTTGTTGTGGTTGGAGCAGTTGTGGTTGTAGTTGGAGCAGCTGTTGTTGTGGTTGGAGCTGATGTCGTTGTGGTTGGAGCTTCTGTAGTTGTGGTAGGAGAAGCTGTAGTTGTGGTAGGAGCAGCTGTTGTTGTGGTTGGAGCTTCTGTGGTTGTGGTTGGAGCTTCTGTAGTTGTGGTTGGAGCATCTGTTGGGTTAGAGCAGCTGTTGTTGTGGTTGGAGCAGATGTGGTTGTGGTTGGAGCTGCTGTAGTTGTGGTTGGAGCTGCTGTGGTGGATGGAGTTTCTGTTGTTGTGGTTGGAGCAGTTGTGGTTGTAGTTGGAGCAGCTGTTGTTGTGGTTGGAGCTGATGTCGTTGTGGTTGGAGCTTCTGTAGTTGTGGTAGGAGAAGCTGTAGTTGTGGTAGGAGCAGCTGTTGTTGTGGTTGGAGCTTCTGTAGTTGTGGTTGGAGCTTCTGTAGTTGTGGTAGGAGCAGCTGTTGTTGTGGTTGGAGCTTCTGTAGTTGTGGTAGGAGCAGCTGTTGTTGTGGTTGGAGCTTCTGTAGTTGTGGTTGGAGCTTCTGTTGTTGTGGTTGGAGCTTCTGTAGTTGTGGTTGGAGCAGCTGTTGTTGTGGTTGGAGCTTCTGTAGTTGTGGTTGGAGCTTCTGTAGTTGTGGTAGGAACAGCTGTTGTTGTGGTTGGAGCTTCTGTAGTTGTGGTAGGAGCAGGTGTTGTTGTGGTTGGAGCTTCTGTAGTTGTGGTAGGAGCAGCTGTTGTTGTGGTTGGAGCTTCTGTTGTTGTGGTTGGAGCTGATGTGGTTGTGGTTGGAGCTTCTGTAGTTGTGGTAGGAGCAGCTGTTGTTGTGGTAGGAGCAGCTGTTGTTGTGGTTGGAGCTTCTGTAGTTGTGGTAGGAGCAGCTGTTGTTGTGGTTGGATGTTCTGTTGTTGTGGTTGGAGCTTTTGTAGTTGTGGTTGGAGCTTCTGTAGTTGTGGTAGGAACAGCTGTTGTTGTGGTTGGAGCTTCTGTAGTTGTGGTAGGAGCAGCTATTGTTGTTGGAGCTTCTGTTGTTGTGGTTGGAGCTTCTGTTGTTGTGGTTGGAGCTTCTGTTGTTGTGGTTGGAGCTGATGTGGTTGTAGTTGGAGCAGCTGTTGTTGTGGTTGGAGCATCTGTTGTTGTGGTTGGAGCTGATGTGGTTGTAGTTGGAGCAGCTGTTGTTGTGGTTGGAGCATCTGTGGTTGTGGTTGGAGCTTCTGTATTGGTGGTTGGAGCAGCTGTTGTGGTTAGAGCAGCTCTTGTTGTGGTTGGAGCTGCTGTGGTTGTAGTTAGATCAGCTGTTGTAGTTGTTGGAGCTTCTGTAGTTGTGGTAGGAGCAGATGTTGTTGTGGTTGGAGCCGCTGTAGTTGTGGTCGGAGCAGCTGTAGTTGTTGATGCAGCCGCTGTAGTTGTGGTTGGAGCTGCCGTATTTGTGGTTGGAGCTGCTGTGGCGGTGGTTGGAGCTGCTGTAGTTGTGGTTGGAGCTGGTGTGGTGGATCGAGTTTCTGTTGTTGTGGTTGGAGCCGATGTGGTTGTGGTTGGAGCAGATGTGGTTGTGGTTGGAGGTGCTGTGGTTGTAGTTAGAACAGCTGTTGTTGTGGTCGGAGCTTCTGTAGTTGTGGTAGGAGCAGCTGTAGTTGTGGTTGGAGCTGATGTAGTTGTGGTTGGAGCTTCTGTAGTTGTGGTAGGAGCAGCTGTAGTTGTGTTAGGAGCAGCTGTTGTTGTGGTTGGAGCAGCTGTTGTTGTGGTTGGAGCAGCTGTTGTTGTGGTAGGAGCAGCTGTTGTTGTGGTTGTAGCTTCTGTAGTTGTGGTTGGAGCTTCTGTAGTTGTGGTAGGAGCAGCTGTTGTTGTGGTTGGAGTTTCTGTAGTTGTGGTTGGAGCTTCTGTAGTTGTGGTTGGAGCTTCTGTAGTTGTGGTAGGAGCAGCTGTAGTTGTAGTAGGAGCAGCTGTTGTTGTGGTTGGAGCTTCTGTAGTTGTGGTTGGAGCTTCTGTAGTTGTGGTAGGAGCAGCTGTTGTTGTGGTTGGAGCTTCTGTAGTTGTGGTTGGAGCTTCTGTAGTTGTGGTAGGAGCAGCTGTTGTTGTGGTTGGAGCTTCTGTTGTTGTGGTTGGAGCTTCTGTAGTTGTGGTTGGAGCTTCTGTAGTTGTGGTAGGAACAGCTGTTGTTGTGGTTGGAGCTTCTGTTGTTGTGGTAGGAGCAGCTGTTGTTGTGGTTGGAGCTTCTGTTGTGGTTGGAGCTTCTGTAGTTGTGGTTGGAGCTTCTGTAGTTGTGGTAGGAACAGCTGTTGTGGTTGGAACTTCTGTAATTGTGGCAGGAGCAGCTGTTGTTGTGGTAGGAGCAGCTGTTGTTGGGGTTGGAGCTTCTGTAGTTGTGGTTGGAGCTTCTGTAGTTGTGATAGGAACAGCTGTTGTTGTGGTTGGAGCTTCTGTAGTTGTGGTAGGAGCAGCTGTTGTGGTAGCTTCTGTTGTTGTGGTTGGAGCTTCTGTAGTTGTGGTTGGAGCTTCTGTAGTTGTGGTAGGAGCAGCTGTTGTTGTGGTTGGAGCTTCTGTAGTTGTGGTTGGAGCTTCCGTAGTTGTGGTAGGAACAGCTGTTGTTGTGGTTGGAGCTTCTGTAGTTGTGGTAGGAGCAGCTGTTGTGGTTGTAGCTTCTGTTGTTGTGGTTGGAGCTTCTGTAGTTGTGGTTGGAGCTTCTGTAGTTGTGGTAGGAACAGCTGTTGTTGTGGTTGGAGCTTCTGTAGTTGTGGTTGGAGCTTCTGTAGTTGTGGTAGGAACAGCTGTGGTTTGCTCTGGAATAGCTGTTGTTTCTGGAATTACCGTTGTTAAGGGAGGTTCTGTAGATGTGTCTGACGTTGTTGTGGTAACAACAGCTGTTGTTGTGTCTGGAGTAGTCTTGGCTGTGGTTGGAGCAGCTGTTGTCACTGTGTTTGTCGTTGAATTATCACTTGTAATGGTTGGAGGATTTATTGTTGTCTGTGCAGTGATCATCTTCTGAGCTGTTAGTTTTAAGAGTGGAATAATTTTAAATGATCAATATTTGCATCAGATGCTGTTGTATTTTGGCACTGGATTCATAATATCAAACTTACCTGATAGTATTACTAACAGCGGCAACAGTTTTTCAGGACCCATACCTCTTCAATCTAAATGCTATAATTTTAAGCAAAAGAAACAACTCATTAGTGAATCAGATAAATATTTCATCAATACTTAATATCATTTCACATATTGACATTTTGAAATATGTCACTATGTGTCATATCTATATCTATATATCTATATATCTATCTATCTATCTATCTATCTATCTATCTATCTATCTATCTATCTATCTATCTATCTATCTATCTATCTATCTATCTATCTATCTATCTATCTATCTATCTATCTATCTATCTATCTATCTATCTATCTATCTATCTATCTATCTATCTATCTATCTATCTATCTATCTATCTATCTATCTATCTATCTATCTATCTATCTATCTATCTATCTATCTATCTATCTATCTATCTATCTATCTACATATATATATATATAGATATATATATATATAGATATAGATATATATATATATCTCTCTCTCTCTATATATATATAGATATATATATATATCTATATCTATAGATATAGATATATATATATATATATATATATATATATATATATATATATATATATATATATATATATATATATATATAGAAGTTCTCCACTCAACCAGCTAAGGTGTACTCTCAATGGCAGGGTAATAACAACAGAGCAGACCCACCAAGGCTGGAGACTGAACAATACTGGAAAGGCATATGGGAAAGGGAGGCGTCCCACAACAGCAATGCACAGTGGCTGATCTCTCTACGAGAGGACACAGCAACCTCCCTGAGCAAGCCCCGGTAACCATCACTGCGACAGATGTTCAAGAAAGAGTCTCAGGCAAAACTGGACAGCACCAGGGCCTGACATGATCCATGCCTACTGGCTAAAGAAACTCACTGCTCTCCATGAGCGACTGGCAGCCCAAATGAACCAGCTGCTACAAAGTGAGACTCACCCTGAATGGTTAACTGAAGGGCGGACAATCCTAATCCAGAAGGATCCATCAAAGGGTCCAGTCCCCCCAACTACCGACCAATAACCTGCCTCTCCACAACCTGGAAGCTCATGTCAGGCATCATAGCGGCCAAGATAAGCAAACACATGGATAAACACATGAGCACGGCACAGAAGGGTATCGGTGTAAATACCAGAGGAGCCAAACACCAACTCCTCGTAGACCGCACAGTTGCCCGAGACTGCAAAACCCGACACACCAACCTGTGCATGGCTTGGATCGATTACAAGAAAGCCTATGACTCAATGCCGCATACTTGGATCATTGAATGCCTAGAGATGTATAACATCAACAGGATTCTGAGAGCCTTCATTGCAAACTCGATGAAGCTGTGGAAAACCACGCTTGAAGCCAACTGCAAACACTTGCACAAGTGTCCATCAAATGTGGCATATACCAAGGAGATGCTCTGTCCCCGCTACTGTTCTGCATAGGCCTGAACCCCCTCAGCCAAATTATCAACAAGACTGGCTACGGATACCGACTCAAAAATGGGGCCAACATCAGTCACCTCCTCTACATGGATGACATCAAGCTGTATGCCAAGAGTGAGCGAGACATCGACTCACTGATCCACACACCACCAGGATCTACAGCACTGACATTGGGATGTCATTCGGACTAGAGAAGTGTGGTCGGCTGATCACAAAGAGGGGGAAGGTGAGAAGGAGGAGTCTCACTCCCACAAGGAACAATAGCAGACATAGAGGACAGTTACAAGTACCTGGTATACCACAAGCAAATGGCAACCTCGATGGGCCACAAGGAAGGACCACAGCTAAATACCTCCAACGAATAAGGCAAGTCCTGAGAAGCCAGCTCAATGGCAAGAACAAATCCGTGCGATAAACAGCTATGCCCTGCCAGTAATCAGATACCCTGCTGGAATAATTAGCTGGCCAAAGGAGGAGATAAAAGCCACAGATATTAAGACTAGAAAGCTACTAACCATGCATGGAGGGTTCCACCCCAAATCCAGCACCCTGAGACTGTACACGAGCCGCAAGGAAGGAGGCAGAGGACTAGTGAGTGTGAGAACCACTGTCCAGGACGAAACAACTAAGATCCATAAATACATCAGGGACAAAAGCCTCAACAGACAATGTGCTCAGTGAATGTCTCAGACAACAGGGAACAGAGGTTGAGGTGCCAGAGATACCATCATGGGAGGACAAGCCCTACATGGGATGTACCACCAGCAAATAACCCAAGTGGCTGATATCAGTAAATCCTACCAATGGCTGGAAAAAGCTGGACTCAAGGACAGCACAGAGGCCCTCATCCTGGCCGCCCAGGAACAGGCCCTAAACACCAGAGCAATAGAGGCCCAGATCTACCACACCAGACAAGACCCAAGGTGTAGGTTGTGCAAGGAGGCCCCTGAGACAGTCCAGCACATCACAGCAGGGTGCAAGATACTGGCAGGGAAAGCGTACATGGAGCGACATAACCAAGTGGCAGGCATAGTGTACAGAAACATCTGTGCAGAATATGGACTGGAAACCCCGAGATCAAAGTGGGAAACACCCCCAAAGGTGGTGGAGAACGCCAGAGCTAAGATCCTGTGGGACTTCCAGATCCAGACAGACAAAATGGTAATGGCGAACCAACCAGACATTGTCGTAGTGGATAACATCAGAGGAAAGCCGTTGTGTTGATGTAGCAATACCAAGTGATTGCAACATCAGGAAAAAGGAGCATGAGAAACTGGAGAAATACCAGGGCCTCAGGGAAGAACTGGAGAGGGCCTGGAAGGTGAAGACCACAGTGGTGCCTGTGGTCATCGGGGCCCTCGGGGCAGTAACCCCCAAACTGGGGCAGTGGCTACAACAGATCCCAGGAACAACATCAGACATCTCAGTCCAGAAATGTGCAGTCCTTGGCACAGCCAAGATACTGCGCAGAACCCTCAAGCTCCCAGGCCTCTGGTAGGACCCGAGCTCAGAGGATAAGAAACCACCCGCGGTGGGTGAGAAGGGAATTTTTTTTTTTATATATATATATATATATATAGAGAGAGAGAGAGAGAGAGAGAGAGAGAGCCACGTTTGTATATACATATGTGTGTGTATAAATGAGCCGTTTTAAAATGCTGATTGCACTACAGGCAGACAGGGAAAAATAAGCAGCTTCAACTTTTCAGCCAGTATGTCATAGCTTCTATATGTAGAAGCTATCGCTTCTACATATAGAAACAACACTTGAGAAACAACCTCAAGCTGCTTGTACAGCCTTCACTCTGAGTTCACTCTCGAATCCACAGACTACCTCTGTCCCGTCTATTTCTGCCAGAGATTTACTGTGCATATTTACTTGTGAAAGTTATAATTAGAGGAGGTCTGAATCTGATGGTTAATGCTTGTATATTGATAACGTTAATGGCTGCGCTGTTTCAAAGTTTGCTCTGGCTTGACACGGATAGCCGTTTCCTCCTCACAGCTGCACCTTAAAATAGGTATGATTGAAATGTAGAGACTGCTGTAAAACCTCAGCTGCGAGAGAAAAGTTCAAAACTAGCTCAAATCAACACGCCACATACACAGAAGCCTAATATATTAATAATTTGAACCAGAGCCTCATGTATGGACGGCCGCAAGTGTCAGCTTAGTACTTTGAAAAGAACAAAATTAGATTTAAAAATTAGAAATAATAAATGATTATCTCTGAACAAATTATGATATCCCAATTTTATTAAATTCACCACAGAGTCTATAACTTATATTTAATTACTCACTAATGCTTAGGATTTGTCATCGTTCGGAGTCTACAACAGGAATGTCAAGTTCAACCTGTTTGAAAGAGGAAAACTAAAATAATTCAAAGTGTTGAGTTGCTTGGAAAGACCAAAGAGAAGGACGAATCATGTCTTTAAATGGTTAAAAAATAGAAAAAAAGTTATATTTCTGCTTAGTTTGTGGTGGGTGGCAAGTGTGTAAAAATAACATTTTTGATTAGCGCCGGTAAGTATTTATAGCTCACATTGAGGCAGTGTTTTAAATTCCTGATTATTTTTTTTCCAATAACAGTCTTCGACAATAGTGTTGTGGGCCTGAGCAACGATCTCGAGGTCACAACAAGTGTTCAAATCACAAGAAAGACACAAAAGCTCTGAGAGTGCTAAACCATGCAACAAGTAATGCTCTGGAGATTGGACGTTGTCACATAACTGAAGACATTTGGGCTAAAACTGTTTAACAACAGTGGGATGTTTTTAATGAAGCCATTTCAGTTAGCCTAAATAATGCCATGAAATACAATGCATCGTGCATCTTCTCCAGCGTCCTGTAAATATATATTCCCATCCAGATGGAATTAGACTTTGAACATAATAAACGGAATCCGCCGAAACTCAGGGATGTCCTCACCACACACACACCACCAAGATTGCCAATTGCAGCTGAAATGGACACAAAGCAGAATATGGAAACACGACTGGAACCCTGCAGGCAAATTTAACAAAATGTATTTTTCACTTTCCTGCATGTGTTTTAGAGAGAAAAAAAATGCATATCTCAAAGTGCAAGTACACTTATATGAGTAAATACTAATGAACTACATTCTAATTATTATTATTATTTTTTTTCCTGTTGCAGGCAACGGAGATCTTTCCTGCAACAGGAATGATTGCAACGTACGTTCCAAGTTGCAAAACCATCAATTCTATCATTTATAATTTGTGGTGCTACATCAAACCTACCAGGTGGATGTTAGGGCCAAAAGCTGTGCTGTTCCAATTTTATTTCGGAAAAAAACTGATTCAGAGGTAAGAACTCTTTTTTTGACAAAAGATGAATTTTGATTGGGTTTTTACACAGCTGGAGCTAGAATCGTGTCTGTCAGTAGAGAAAGTAGTTTCTCAAGCAGCTAATTATCTGAAAGTTGTCCATAAAGAATGACAAGATGCTATTCTGGGTTGGCTTATTTCTGAACTGCACTTATAATCTCCTTATGTGGTTTTCCATCAGTATTATTTGTAGTAAACTCATGGGGTATTTTGTGAAACAGTCTGAAAAATCTGTCTTAAAAAATGGAGGCGTTAAATATGCCAACGCAAAAAGTGTTAAAATGGTTCCAGGAGAATGAACAAGAATGAAGAGAGTATTTTTGGTTCTCTGTAATTCTGCCTGTGCCTCGTCATCTCTCCCAGGGGATGAAGAACTCAGATAATAATCCCGCCTAAGTGGTCAAATTAAAGTTGACGTAGAAAACAGACCCAGAAACTTGCAAAAAATAAAAAATAAAAGACTTTTTTGCCAATCTGAAAATTGCTACTGTCCTGACATCCATATTCAGGTCAGTGTAGATCAGAGACGGCTGAACTCTGGGATTAATCGGAACTAAAACGTGAATATAAACTCCATATATTATAATATTGTCGAAATGTTTAGTATCTATTTTAAATAACCCAGATAATATTGTAAAATCCACAAAGCAGAAAATAATAGTTTAAATCTATTTTCAGAATGACTGCTAAAGTAAGAATTTAACAAAAATGAGAAAATGTACTCATGACTTCTAAACAAAAGCAGTTTTTATTAAAAAAAAGTGAGAAAAAAAAAACAATCTAACTTTGATAATATATATAAAAAAAGAACTAAAAGTAAAAATCTGTTTTGATATTCCTAAATCTGGTGGAAATTTGACATAATTTTGCCTGTTTTACTGATTATATGGAATGCCCTTGAATCAGTGCGAGCTTGTGTTAAATGTTTACAAATTCCTCAATTTAAAACTAATGTCTCAATATCTAAAAACAAATAAATCAGATATAAAAGACAAATTTAAAAAAAAAGTCAGTTTTTAAGTTTTAATGTATTTAAACCTTAAACTCTTAAAGGTATACTCAGAAATGTACTTACCCAGAGCAGTAAATCAATGCAAAGGTCCCTAAAATCTCTCTTGCTGCCTCTGAAACTAGTTTTTCTAGAGATTGTTCAGCCTTATATTAACTCTGAGTTATTACCAGAATGACGTAGATATGAAATTTCTTTTGAAACAATATAGGTATTTCTGGAATGGCGAGGTTAAAAATCCGGCTGTGCAACTACCCTTTTTTTTTTTTTTTTTTAAGTTTCCTTCATCCATACTACATTCACAGCTCAGTGATATTTCTTCATTCCACCCAAGTAAACAATCCAGATAACTTTGCTTTCATTTGTGGATGTGTTACAGTTTTAAGTATGTCAAAATATAAAGATCAGACTTTGTTGCGAATAAAAACTGTGAAAATATATTTTTGGTTTAGTTTCATTTTTCTAAGATGCACGGCAAATTTATTGAGTTCAATTATTGAATTGTGAGTGAGAAAATACCTGAGGTGTGGCTCTAATACCATCTTTTGTGCAACGCTGAAAGCTTTAGAGAAGCCAAATTTAGAATAGACACACTCTGTTCAGAAATCCATTACGAACTTTTGAAATTCTTAATTGACAGGTCGGATCAGGTTCAAAGCAAACCAAAAGGTATTGCAAAAGGTTCACAAAAGGGATCACAAGCAGTCCACATTTTGTCATCCTTAAATGAGAACTTGCCCTTTTGTGTATGGTCTTACAAATGTTATGTCATAACATGGCAAGAAATGTCTGTTGTGGAGCCACACTAACAAAACATACTTGAGAATTTCAAAACAATTTGAAATTTATTTTAAAAATATTGCAGAGTCAAAAAAGCGACATGGTTCCGTTGCTAAAGTCTTCAATGTCACTTGAATAAATTTGCATTCAAACGTTTTACAATAAACTTTACTGTATAATTCTTTAATTACAATGTGTGAAATTACAATTCACATGAGTTTGATTTAGATATTTAACTACTTATAAAAATGTTATAACAAGTACAATCATTCAACTACAAGAAAAATTCAAGAGCAAACTAAAATAAGTATTTGCTTGGATTTCTTTTGAAATACTTTCTCTATGTGTCATTGGCAGACGGGTCTAATCTGGCCACTTCACAGTTTGCTGCTTTTAGTAAAAAGACAGCTGAGCCTCAGATTAACATGACTTGATCTATGACTGGCATGATAAATAACAGAAGTGGGATGTTGTTTTTGGTTGTTCCCATTCAAAAGTATGTCAGGTACAGTGAATCATTCCTAATTCATTTTCCATCCATCCATCCTTCTATCTGCGTTTCGAGGCCAGCAGAGGCCCATAGTCCCTCCAGCGTGTCTTGGGTCGACTTCTGGGTCTCCTCCCGCCACTGGCTCTTGTCAATGTGGAAAAGCAGCAGCTCTACTCTGAGTCCCTCCTGGATGACCGAGCTTCACTCTGTCTCTAAAGGAGAGTCCAGACACCCTGCGGATGAAACTCTTTCTGGCTGCCACTATATGTGATCCCGTTTTTTCGCTTCCTACCCACAGCTGATGACTGCAGAGGAGGGTTGGACCGTAATTTGACCAGTTAAGTGTGAGCTTGGCCTTTTGACTCAGCTCCCTCTTCGTCCCAACAAACCGGTACAGTCCACATCACAGACCCTGAAGAATTTAGCCTATCGATTACCCCCTCCATTTTTCTCCTCATTCATGAACAAGAGCCTGGAGATACTTAAACCCCAGCAAGGAGGTAATTCATTTTCCTCTTAATCAAACAGAAGGTTTTCAGCTGGTGGAAGAGATCAACAAAAATGTTGATCCCTTATGTTTTCTCCTACATATTATGATGTTTCTAAGTTATTTAAGTGCCCAAAGGTCTGTATGATCATTATTATTATTATTATTATTATTATTATTATTATTATTATTATTATATTATTATTATTATTATTATTAATAATAATAATAATGGTAATTATTATTATCATTATAATAATGATAATAATTATAATTATGATTATAACAGCAAATTATTATAATAATAATTATATAATTATTATAATAATTATAATTACAATTATAATAATAATTTTATTTTTTATAATAAATGGAAATTAAATTTTCCTTTTCCGGAAATTTTTCCATTTCCGGAAAATGGAAACATCTAATTTGAGATTTTGGCAATAGCTTTAACATATGGACTTAAGACACACTTTGAAGATAAAAACTAATAAAGACTTCACATTAGAACGGGTTAATTTGAAATAAATCGGTTAATTGACATTAGCAGAACTGAAGGTCATCTACAACGCAAGAAGAAGCGGTTTGTTCATCACTAAGAAGATTTTTCTGCTAACAGAATAAAAAGAAACGTGATAAACAGATAGAATGAGGAGCAAAAAGACATTTAAAAGTTTTAAGATTCACCTATTCTTACATTAAGGGGAAGAGTCAAAGTGAATGTGTGATAATGAATCAATTATATTAATTAATTGCACATCATGTGCCTGGATAAAATTTAGTCATATTCAAAAAATTAGAATATGGATTCTGATTAGTCTAGTTTGTGAAATTAAACATATTTGTCATTAGACATACATTAGACAAGATTTTTTTATTGGTCTGATGTAATATTCTAATCTTGAAATGTCATGTTCCCATTAGCTTTAAACAATAAATCATCATAATCAACTGAAATTGAAGCTTGAAATGAAAACAGCAGTCTATTTGTAATTAAACTATATAATGTGTTTTACTTGTCAGCTGAGTTACTGAAATGTTTTTTCTTAATATTCTAATTTATTAAATATGAATGTCATTCTGTATTGAGTTGTGCAAGAAATGTACACTAGATGGCACTATTGTTATGAGGAACGGACGCCAAAGACATTGACACGGCAAAGAAACTTAGGCGATATCCTCACTCCCGAGACTTGAAATCCAACATTGAATAAGAAGATTAATATTGGCACCATACGTGCTTCTAAAATTTCTAATTAATTATGAATTAAACAGAAAAGAAAATTCAACATCAGCTCTGAATTGTGTTTGAAATGCTCTCCAGTGTATTTACACTAAAATATACAAACATGAACCACAAGGCGGTGCCAGAAGACTTCTAATAGAAGACTGGGTGAAGTAAATGGAAGAACAAAACTTGACATAATAAGAAATAAAAGCATAAACATATATGTAGTTTTTCCTTATCCTTACACGAGTTCCCATCAAGAAACACAAGAAACCCTTCTTATCAGAGGATAAGAACCACCCGCGGTGGGTGAGAAGGGAATTTTTTATATAGATTTTTTTTTTTTTCATTTCCCCTAAAATATATTTCTTTTCAAGAAAAGTAGATATTTTGTTTTGTCTATTCCTTATACAATCCCTCCTCCTTTTGTCATTGCCTCCTCTCCTTTTTCTGCTTGTTCTTTTTTCGATCTTGTTGTCCTTTTTCTGTTTGTCTTTTTTTCTGCTTCTCTGTGTGCACATTCACGCTAATGAGGAGAGCTGCCCTCCATGTCCAGTGGGGCATTTATGTCTGGTGCAGTTGCTTGGTATCTTCAAAGGCCACATACCAAAAAAACTTTATCCCGGTGTTTTTAGCATGTTACTGACCGCAGTGAGGTTACTTTTGAGTTGGATATTGGATATCCCAATATCCGCAATATAGCTCAAACTGGATCCGATTTATGAACGCTAATTTCGGCCAGCCGTTCTCAAGCGCTTGGAGGTTCACTTGGAGACTGTCAACAAATTTCCAAACCAAACACTCCAGTCAAACAAATGTTAATAAAAGCCTTGCCTTGTGACCAACTGATACAAAAAAGTGGTAATTTATGCTTATGCATGAGACACACCAGCCTCTATTAAAATGTCAAGTCATATTCAATATTTTAAATAATTTTAATATTAAACAATGTTTTCTTCAACATGATTATTGTGTGCCACATTAACTAGAAATCAGTGTGTAATTGTTGTACTAAACTGTATGCCACTTTAGTATAAGGCACATGCATTTTTATTCAATTGTAACTCATTTTTTTATTGTTGGTATTTTTTTTATTGTTGAAATTAAATATTTCTCTTACAGGCTTCTAGATCATGTGAATTATTGAGAAAAAATTTGTGTGAAACTGTTCTACCAGTCTGTACAGATGAGATACACTCATTATTATTCAATTTGAACCTTTTTAATTGATGTCAATTCACAGCTCTACATTATGTCATAAACATATGATGACTGTATGGAGGACCAAAAACCTAGTCATTATTTTTTGTTAAACTGACAGCTATATGCTTTACAGAATACTTTCTGTAAGAATACAATTAAAAGGAAAAGAAAAACTGGACAATCATACAGCACGTTGCTCAGACAGCATAGTTTTTGGTAAATCCTACAATATTTATTGAGAGAGAACCAAAATAATCCTTGAAGAAATACATTCATGTTTAATTTTAAAGATAATAAATTAAATCAATGACACAGAATAATTAGTTTTGTATAAATAAATAAAACATTGACAAGAGGAAATTATTATGTTTCAATAAATGCTTTGAAATTCTAAGTGAATCTTGGTCTGGAATTAGAACAACATTCTTGTTCACACAAGGAATAATTGACATTTTCATGCAGATTTTCCTGTGGAAGACAGCAGAGACGTTACTGCTGAGTTGAAAGAAGCCAAGACAGCAGGACCATGCTGAATGCAGTGATGAGGCTGATGGCATGGCTTGCTCCGTTCGACGTTTCTGTGTAAAAGAAGACAAAAAAAACATACTTACTTCAACTAACTCCTTTGTGAGTTCATTGATCATGTATGATTAATATGTTAATCTATATTTTCTATAGTTTGAATGTAATTTAACTTACGTGCGCCATCCACAAAAATTGAATTGATGTCAATGTTGAAAGCTGTGACGGTTGAATTTGCTTTCACCAAAACATTTGTGATTTGGGCGCTAGTAGGTTGAGATAGTGTTAAAATTCAATGTCAATGTTGTTGATGATTGATCCATTGCTGCAGAGATAACAACATTTCAGTTAATCTGTGCACATTCATATTAAACAGTCTTCAGAATTTATGCAACTCATACCTGAAT